ACCTCTTTGTGCTTTATGGTGTTTTTTTGTCAAGTTACTGCAGACCCAGTTCATAGAGTTGTCACTAACAAGCCTACCTTCTCGGCTTTTTTACAAAGATAGCATAGGAGCTTGTCATTTTCTCTTATATATGCCTGCTATCCCACAAATCCTATCCCCAGCCTCATCGTGACGTGGGGGTGAACGGTTTTGGACTGTTCCAAAAACGTACCAATGCGGAGGGTGCCACGTCAGAGCCTGGCGAGCTACGCGTGGTTAAACTTCTCATCGCCGAAAACAGTAACAGCTATGGGACTCATTCCCCTGAACCTGAGGGAACCACCGACAGGGCGACGTCGGCTGGGACCGCTCGGGAGAGGCTGCAAGAATCACAGGGCCAACGGAGATTTAGGTCGCTCAGGACTAGGATGACTATCTGTACTTTCAACGCACGGACGCTTGCATCGGAAGCTCACATCGAGGATCTGATGTTGCATGCCAGGAAGATCAAGTACGACGTCATCGGACTGACCGAGACGAGGAGGCATCGCCCGCTACATGCCGTATACGAGACTGGAGAAGAACTGTTCCTCGGAACATGCGACAGCAGAGACGTTGGCGGTGTAGGCGTTCTCGTCAGTACGCACTTGGCCATGAACATCGATTCGTACGAAAATCTAACGACCCGAATCGGACATTTGCGATTGAGAAGATGTGGCTCAACTCCAGCTTTGACAATCTTCGTCGCCTACGTACCAACATCAAGCTACGACGAGAATGAGCTTGAAGCGTTCTATATGGAATTTTAGAAGTTCTACAAGGAAGATCATACCTTCTTCAAGGTCATCGTTGGTGATTTCAACGCTAAGATCGGACCAAGAAGAACGGCTGAAGAACTTCACATCGGAACTCACGGAATGGAGTGGATTGAGCAGGGTGAAAGGCTGTCTGAGTTTATCATGTCGACCCACACCATCCATGGTAACTCGCAGTCCCAGAAGCCCTACTCTCTACGCTGGACATGGGAGTCTCCTAGCGGACAATTCCATAACGAGATCGACCACATCATCTGCAATCAAAGGTTTTGCCTGACAATGTCGTTGTTGTCCCTAAGTTCTACACGGGATCCGACATCATCGTCTCCTTCGCGCAAGATTCCGGAGAAGAGCCAAGAAGTTCAAGAAGCGAAGCCCAAGACACCATCAACTGAGATCACTTCACTTCTCTTGCTAGGCTCTGGGAGGATTCTGTCATTGACAATATCGACGAGGAATAGGAACGGCTTGTTGCACATCTTCACGTCTGCGCCAAGAAGTCAGAGGGTTTCAAGATTACCAGGAAGCGTCTATCTCTGGAAACTCTGGAGCTGATTCGCCAACGTGGAGCCGCACGAGCCGCAGGCAATTACCAGCTGACCTCTGAGCTTGGCGAAGCTATGCAGAGAAGCGATAAAGGAAGACCTCAAGGAGAGAAGAGCAGCAGTACTGGTGGAAGCTGCAGAGGCTGGGAAGAGCGTACGCAACGCCCGCCGCGACTTCGCCAACTGTAAGACTAAGATGACAGCCCTCCGACGTCCGGATAGAACAATCCAGAAGGGCAATGGAGAAGGTCATCCACAACTTCTACCGCGATCTCTTTGACAGCCACGTCCACCTGCCACCATATCCCTTGGAACAAGATGGATACGTGGTTCCTACAGTTCTCCCTTCCGAAGTCCGACATGGCCATCTCGTCGGTGAAGAATCGTACGGCACCCGGTCCCGAAAGGATCAGACCCGAACATTGAAGAATCTTCCGCCAGTTCTCGTCAAAAACTCTGGCTCGACTCTTCACGCGCTACCTGTCGGAGTGCAAGGTACCCACCTCGTGGAAAACCAGCAAGACTGTGTTGTTGTACAAGAAGGGAGATCTGTACGACATTGGCAATCATCGCCCAATCTGCCTGCTGTCTGTAGTTCTACAATCTCTTCACACCAGTCATCCTGAACAGGATTGGCAGAACACTAGACGAAGGACAGCCATGCGAGCAAGCAGGGTTTCGAAGAGGATTCAGCACGATCGATCACATCCACAGGTAACGAAGCTCATTGAAGTATCGCGAGAGTACAAGATGGCCGTTATGTCTTACGTTTACCGACTTGAAGAAAGCCTTCGACTCCGTTGAGACAGAAGCGGTTTATCGGAGCCCTGGGCAACCAGGGTATTCCTACTCAGTACATCAGGATTCTTCGTGAGCTCTACAGCAACTTCAGCGACCGAGATTTCACCATTCTTCAAGGAGATCATCATTGATGTGAAGAGAGGGGTCCGACAGGGCGACACTATCTCGCCCAAGCTCTTCAGCTCCTCTCTCGAGAACGTCATGAAACTGGAATGGGAAGACATGGGAGTGAAGATCGACGGTCGGCAACTACAGCATCTCCGCTTTGCTGACGACATCGTTTTGATAGCGCCAAACATCGAGCAAGCGGAACGAATGCTGGCCGAATTCGACTGCGCGTGTGGAAGAATCGGTCTAGGGCTAAACCTGTCGAAGACGATGTTCATGAGAAACGGATTGGTATCTGATGCCCCATTCACGCTCAACGGAACGACCATCTCTGAATGCTCTAGCTATGTGTACCTAGGTCGTGAAATCAATATGATGAATGACCTAGTTCCAGAGCTGAGCAGGAGGAAGCGAGCGGCTTGGGGAGCCTCCAAGAACATCGAGGGAGTAGCGAAGAAGACGAAGAAACCAAGCTCCGTGCTCACCTCTTCGATTCCGCGGTCCTTCCTGCCTTGACGTACGCCTCAGAGACTTGGACTCTACGAAAGCAGGATGCGCATGCGGTCGGTGTTATTCAATGCGCCATCGAAAGGGCGATGCTCGGAGTTTCCCGCTACACGCAAGTGAGAGAGGGAATCCGGAGCTCCGCACTCCGCCAACGATCGAAGATCAAAGACGCCGCCGCATTCGCCAAGGCTTCGAAGATCAGGTGGGCCGGACACGTCATGCGTTTCGAGGACGACCGCTGGACGAGAGCAGTCACCGACTGGGTTCCTCGGGATGTCAAGCGAACGCCTGGAAGACCGCCTACGCGATGGTCAGACTTCTTCGTGAAAGCTCTGAACGTATGAAGTTCATCGTGTCCCTCGAGCTGAGAGAGTTCACTGGGCAACTCTTGCACGTTGCAGGGAAGAATGGAGAGGTTACTGGCGCCTGCTCGAGGAACTCGATGATCAACGGGAGCACAGGCACAGGTGAGGTGATGCCTGCTATCAATAGAACTAATTAAGACCATATGGCGCCGACAGAGTGCTGTACAATATTTTACTGCCAAGTACCAAAATATTTTGCTGTTTCCTTCGAAATTGGACTGAAGGTTCCACATTTCAGCCTCTTTTCCGCGAGATCCAAAACCAGCGGAGTGCGCAACTTCGTAAGTACAGGAATGGTTGTGGTTTTCATCTGCTGTTAGTGTTTAAACAGTTATATTATGACCAGTCTGGCTGACGCGCATTTCTGCGCGCATGGTTAAACCTTTGTTACTGATATCTGACAGGATTCCTGTGCTGAGCACTAACACTTAGCCTAATTCCTATGTTTCCAAAACGGCCCATTTCGTCATGTTTCTCCCTTTTAATGAACACTTGCCAATGTTAGGTCCTTATCATATTCTGAAAGCGCCATTCGTTGGAAATAGGACAGCATAGCGGTTGGAAGGATTCCGATGGTAAAAATATTGAAATCATAGGGGCTTTTATCATTTCTCACTGGCAAACAGCTACAAACATCCCATTTTCGGGAACTCGAGCGTTTAGAGGTGGAAGCAATTCCAACCGCTAAACTGAGAAATTTTACTAATGGGAAACATCTTGACTTACCAAGCCTTCGCCCATTGATTCTTTGGTTACGGTGATGTGAGCAGATACGGACTCCCAAAAGCCCTTGTAGGACACTTATCTTTCACCTATAATGTTCCCTAAGCACCTCTGAATTACTTGCTGGAGCTGTTCCCAGTGTTGCTACAACTCTGCTTTGGATTTTCCTGGTTATCTCATCAGCTGTTATCAATTCCTGCCACCCGCCAATAATGTTCTCATCCTGCCCCCTATTTTACTTCTTAGAACCAACGTCCCGTCCTTGCTCTGGGCGGTGTTATGAATTAGGTGACTCACTCCTTCGAAGGCTCTTTATGGTATCTTATCAGCTCTTATCACTTCCTGCCACGCATCAATAATGTTTCCATCCTGCCTCCTGTCTTATTTCTTGGAACCAATGCTCTAGCCTTGCTGTGACGCGCGTTATGAAGTTGGTGCTCCTCCCTTTCTGAGGCCCCTTATGGTATCTTATCGACTGTTATCACTTCCTGCCACCCACAGATGTTTCCATCCTGCCCCCTATCTTATTTCTTGGGACCAACACCCTACCGTCGCTGTGACGCACGTTATGGATTTTGTGACCCTCCTCTTCTAAGGCTCCTTATGGTATCTTATCAGCTGCTATCACTTCCTGCTACCCATTAATGATGTTCCCATCCTGCCCCCTATCTCACTTCTTGGATCCAAGGTTCGGTCTTTGCTCTGGCAGGTGTTATGAATTAGGCAACCCACTCCTTCTAAGGCTCCTTATGGTATCTTATTAACTGTTATCACTTCCTGCCACCCACCAACAATGTTCCTGCACGACCTCCTACATCACTTATCAAATTGTGCGCACTATCGCTGTTTTGAAGGAGGTTATGAATTGTCCAGGGTCCGCAAGACACGACATACAGAACAGACACACAAACATTCACTAACACACACACCAACAGACAAACTTAGCGGATTATTTATAGTAGGATAAAAGTTTCCAGTCCACCATTTCCCTTGCGCTATTGTTGACGCACAAGTAGTAACGCGTGCATACTATAGGGTTAGTAGATTTTAGTGATGTGGTTGTACAGTATTTCCTCAAGAACTGCTTTTAGGAGCCTGAGACCGTGTCACCTGTCCCCCAGCAGCGCTTTCCAAGTGATGACTGCCTTTGCACTGCCATGCGAAATATTTCGCTCGACATGCTAGTGAATAACGAGGAATTTAGCCTGAAGCACGCCGAATACCAACCTCGGAAGCGAGGACCGTCATCGCCCACGTCAAGCAGTATGAAGGAACATCTGGGGTCCACCTCGTGTGGAACAATTTTCGACTCAGGGACTGCGATAAGTGCCAGGGCATGTGATGAGAGCGTCATGGCTGCTACTAGAGTTAGTAGCGAGACGTTTCGACCTGCACCGGCGCGGGCGGTTTGCAAGAGCCGCTCGCGTAAGGTAGCAGTAGCAACCGCTAGGACTAACTTTGGTGCAGAATGGGGAGAGCGGATAAGACGACGGGTGCACGGTATGTTGAAAGAGGAGAAGGATGTCACGATAGCGGATTGCGTCTGCAAATGCAAGAGGCCTATCCGGACTTTTCTTTGTCAGCTATGACGCTTTGGAGGCTAGTAAAAGGTCTTGGGTTCTCGTACAAGATCGTAAAAGGGCAGCGTTTCATATTTGAACGCTTGGATCTTGCCCGCAAGAGATCCTTGTACTTGAGAAACGACGAGGCTAGGACTAGAAGGTACTGCGTGGTCTACATGGATGAGAAGTGGGTGTTCAAAGGTATGGTGAAGAGGAGAGGCTGGGTAGATAACACTGTGTCGCGTTTTCCCTCCCGCAAGGCGATACAGCACTACTCTTGTGGCAAAACTGCTGGGAAGAACAAAGGGAGGCGCGGCATCGTTATCACGGCATTGTGTGAAGAAGGAGTCATAACGGGTAGCACCCACGTCCTCGTGAGCGGACACCGGACCGCGCAGAGCGATTTCCAGCGAGAGATGTTCGAACACAGTGTCCGAGGAATGGCCGGAATCGTTAATCCCTCTGATGAAGGAGTTCGCAGCAGGGCGGAATATTACTCTACTGCTCGATAACGCTCCTTATTATACTAGAGCACTAGAGAAGGTGAGAGTGAAAGAGATCCGCAAGTTACAAAACATAAAATTGGTATCATCAGATTCCGACCAGACGCTCCACAATACAGGAGATTACCAGCTATCTCAACTCGCACGGGTCGAAGTGGCTGCCGACAGTACTTGAGCGCTCTCCAAGAGGAGGTTTGTCTACGTTTCGGCACTGCCTTATTTCCCTCTTTACTCAATGTTTAGCTTGACCAATAAGTCGCCAGTCGAGGCGGTGTGGCAGTCTTGCGGTGCCACACCGCTGAGAGGATTTGCGAGGACATGGGGGTGAACTTGTTTCGGCTCCCCCCCCCCCATTTCACTGTTATTTCAACTCTGTGGAGCTGTGCTGGAGCTACCTGAAGTACGGCCTCAACAAGATTGGGAAACCCACGAATAGGCTGGAAACAGTAATGTTTTCTGGGACGCAGGTTTTACACGTGTGTGATAATGCAACATGAATATTCTGTCGCTCAGGTCAGAATGAGGGCAGTGGAAATATTGGGAAGAGTATCCAGGGACCTCTGTGAGGCCCGGTGTGGGAAGACGTTCGAGGAGGAGGACTCCGCGCGATTGAAGAATGCTTTGGATGCCACTCATGGTGATATGGGCGCTGAAGAGCCCTCATCATCTGACAGCAGCCTTTCAGATGATGTGTTTAGTTGTTATAGTGTCGAGCTGCGAATGCTTATTTGGTTTTTGTTGTAGATTCTAGTCACTTCACCATCACGGGTTATTTTTGTTGTTGTCATAACACGGCTTACCTATTAATCACTACTTCGCTGTTTCCTTTACTACAGGTTTTGTACCATTTCTCTTGTTTGTTACCTCTTGTTTGATACCACTTCTCAACTTGTTATAATGTTTCTTGTTTGTTGTTACTCTGGGCTCCTTGGTCGGGTTCAATCGTTATTAATCTAGTTGTTCATGAAGTCTTTCCTAACGGTGAATACTTATTTTCCTAAGTTTCTCTGGCCCTTTTAGCATTTTATTTCGTCCCTTTATTACGTTTTTTTTCTTTTCTACGGCTTACACGTTCTCTAACAATGCCTGTGATGCTACTTGTTTATTGATAGCAGGCATATGAAGAGAAAATGAAAAGTCGCTATGGTTTCTTTGTAAGAAAGGCGAGAAAGCTTGTTAGTGACAACTCTATGAACTGGGTCGGCAGTAACTTGATAAAAAACTCATTTCAATAAAAATGTTAGTGAAATACACACCGCAACAGAAACAAGAAGCTATGGTGAGCGACACAGAGGGACAACAAGGCACAATGGCAAGCATAGTAGGCGTCTAGCAAGTGAGCCAGACATGGAAGCGCTAACTAAAGATGCACTCTCTGAAAAAAAGAATTGCTACTTAACGTTCTCATCATGCAAAAGAACTTAACAAGACCCTGTAATGAAGAATGAGTTAAACAAAAAGAAAGAATGAAAAATAAGCAAATAAACTCATGGAAGGGGAACAACAATGGCGCATTGGGCGAGACCTGTGAAACAACGATTCCAAAAGCGACATCACAACATCAAGCTCCAAAACAGAGTCAAAGTGTGCTCCTAATATGCAAAAGAACACAACAGTGACTCTGTAATAAAGATAGAGTCGAACAAAAAAAGGAACAAAAAACGAAAGAGCAAATTCACAGGGCGACAGAAATTAGGGCCACAGCGGCAAAAAAATAGGGGAGGTGGCATTTCAGAAAGACCGCGTCTACCGGAACAGTGTCAGGGAGTGTCCCTGGCACTAATAGGGACACATCACGACACCGCCATGGAGAGCAGGTCCAATATTTAAAGAACAAACAGAGGAAACCTGAGCAAAATCAAAAACGAAGCAAAAACGCTGCTGGAACAATTAAATAGCGACCAAAGGCGAAATATTCAATGAAACCTAAAACTAGAGTAAATAATGTAAACTCACCACACTTTTCTGGCGTTTAGGAAGCAGAATAACAGCTTATTTAAATAAACGGCTGCAATCAGCTGATTGCGCGGTGCAGCTGGCTATTGGGAGGAGGGAAAGACTCACCCATGCGCGTATGCGGCGCGGCTTCTTCACGGCGCCGCGGCGGCAGGGCGGAGCGAAAGGCGATGGCTCGCGTCCACGGCGCTGTGCTCCAATCCAGCAGCCTCTTTATGTGGAAAGAAGAGAGGGAAAAGTAGAGAGAGGAAGGGAATTAAACAGATAGTGGGTAGATATGTGAGTTAGTGGCAGTGGTAGAAGATCACAGAGAAGTCGCCTATCACGAACTACTTCAGTGAATGGCAGAACTGGCGGCATAGTTTCCTTCGATTGTGAAAACGAAGCAAGCAGCTTTTACATGAAAGCCTGAGGTTTGGCAAATTGCCAACAGTCGGTTGTGACCTTACAACGCTATAACATCACGTCCCATTCAAAGAGAATCATTCTGCCGGTTCCGCTGTTGACTGAAATAATACGCTCTAATTCTCGGCTTTTCTGTATTCTCTGCTCTCCATTACCACTAACTCCCCTATGACCGTTCACTACTTGTTCAATCCTCTTTTCTCTCCTCCTCCTTACACATAATAGAGCATGAAAGGGGCTTCTAATTGAAGCACAGTGGCGGAGGCGCAAGCGATCGCCCTCGCCCGCCCGTCGCCGCAGTGCCGCAGTGTCGTGAAGGAACCGCGCCGCATACGCGCAAGGGTGAGTTTGTACACGGAGCCCTGGCTATTGCGGGCAGAGCGCAAGAAGAAGAGTACGCAGAGAGGCGCGGCTTCGTGAAGAGAGGGCGCAGAGAGCAAAGGACCGCCGTGATTGCTTCCCCATGTAGCAGTGGCTGCCACCCCAATCCCAGCCGCCGTCGCGTCGCAATGAAGTCCGCAATTCTGCCTACCTCGTCTGAGGGATCACGACTGTAACTATTGCGCTCTCGAATTACTGTTAAAGAAACTCTTGCTGAAAGTTGAGCTACGGGGATGACTGGATGCCCTAATCATGAGTACGACACTCATTTTTGACCATGGCGCAACTTATCGCCGATTTGCTGCAAGAGCATTCTTGCACTTAAATCGTTGTCAACCCGCACGCAGGGGCTGTTAAGCGCCATGCTGGCGTCAAATGGCCAGAATCGTGAGCGGGGCTACCAATTACTCCTGCATACGAATCTCCAGCGAAAAAAATTTCCGGAGGTTTTGGTGATAATCGACCGACCACTTGGTTAGCAGTGGCCCCGATTCGCATCCAGCGTGACTGGTTCCACTTTGAGTTTCCAAGTGTAGACATTGTGCAATAAATAAATAAATAAATAAATAAATATATATATTTATTTATTTATATATAAAAAAATATTATATTATTTATTATAAATAAATAAATAAATAAATATATAATTATATATATATATTTATTTATTTATATATAGTTGGTTTTTCTTCCGGATTTGTGCTTTTTTAGGCTATAGCGATTGGCTCCGCCCACCAATGGGAGCTCCGCCCCACTTTGGGGAAGCCCCGCCCACCTTTTGAAAATGATGCAAATCGGCGGGCCAGTACGGACACTAGCCCCCGCATTTGCATCATTTTCGAAAAGTGGGCGGGCTTCCCCAAAGTGGTGGAGCTTCCATTGGTGGGCGGAGCCAATCGCTATAGCCTAAAAAAACACAAATCCGGAAGAAAAAATCAAAATTCCGCGATAAACACAAGTGGGCGGGGTCAGAGGGGCGGCCTGGCGTTGCTGTGCATGGTTATTTGTTTTGTGAAGATTGAGTGTGAAAAGAATTACGTCGAAAAAAGTTAATATAAATTCAGAGCTTACGTAACTTCATTGTTAAGTGGGCGGAGTCAGATCTGTATGGGTATCAATCTTTTTCAGTTGAAGTGTGTGTGCAAAGGGCAAAAACGAGAAAAAGTCGAGGGAGCCAGATTTCATGAAGCATCTCGGAGAACCCTATCCGCGCTGAGAAGTGGGCGGGGATAATGGGGCGGGGCTTGCAACAATACCTAGTGTGGTCTATTTATCAAACCACCTAATTGTAAGGGGTGTGTCCGATCTGTTTGTGTCCGATTTGGTTTGAAAAGTGTCCGATTTGGTTTGAAAGTGTCCGATTTGGTTTGAAAAGTGTCCGATTTGATTTGAAAAGTGTCCGATTTGGTTTGAAAAGTGTCCGATTTGATTTGAAAAGTGTCCGATTTGGTTTGAAAAGTGTCCGATTTGATTTGAAAAGTGTCCGATTTAAAGTGAAAATGGTATATATCTCTTTTTGAAGCTTGTAGTTATAGTTATGAGGCTATATACCAGTAAAAAGAGAGGTTCAGAAATTCGAAGTTGGATAAATACTAGAACAGGATACTGATAGGTACCAGTTCAACAAGACCAACCATCATAGCTCAAAGAGCTCGAGGAAAAAAATGCCACCGAAACTCTGTATATAGGGGTTATTAATGGCTCTGATCACGGTTCTGACCTTTATGATTGGAGCTGAGGTCATTTGGCGCCAACATGGCTCTGAATACTCCTATCACCCTACGGCGTGTTAGGATGCTGCGAGAATCCCTCGAGAAACTGCAATGCTATCTCAGTGTCTTCTTCTTCTCCAGCGTTTGTCCCACTCAGTGACGGGCTCCGCTCTTCTAATGTGATGACGCCACTTTTCCCGATCAAATGCCTGATCCGGGGAAATCCAGCTATTTTCAAGTCTGTGTGCAACGTATCGGGCCAGCGCTGTCTGGGACGTCCCCTAGGTCGCTTTCCGGGCACCTCAAGGCCAGTCCTACAGACTTTGCGCGAAGTAAATGACCGTACCATCGAAGGCGCGTTTGCCGTTTGTCAGCTATAGGAGCTATGCCGAACTTCTCGCGTATTACCTAGTTACAAATGCTGTCCAAACGCGTGACACCTGCAGTCCATCGCAACATCCTCGTCCTCATCACACTTAGACGGGCTTCGACTTCTCTGGTAGCGGGTTAATACTCGGCGCCATATAAGGCGACTGGTCGAACAACACTTCTGTAGATCTTCGATTTGAACCTGGCATCTTCGTGTCGCAGAGGATCCCCGGCATGCATCGCCATTTTGCCCATGCTGCACTCACCCGTGCGTTCACCTCCGCTTTGAAATCTCCATCGGACGTAATTGCTGATCCCAGATAATCGAATGATTTTGTACGCGTGAGCTCAG